CAAGAATTAGATAAAGTTGAGCTCCCCTTTTTGAACTTGTACTGTCAGTACTTTTATCAATTTGTGCTTTTCCAGGTGTTTGTTTACCATCCCCAAATAGAGCACTCGCTTTGCAAGTGAGAGACCTGAGTTCAATTCCAGGCAGGGCGAAACCTTGGGCAAGTTTCCTTACTCCCCACGCCTAATAATAATCCCTCCAAAAAACAAAAACAATAATAAATTGGCAATTTTCAATCCATGACTCTTTGTGGGGCATTGCTGTGCGCAATTGGCTGCCGCGTTCGCCCACAAATATACCGTCAATTCACTTTACAGTATATTCTGTGAAGCGCTTTGGGACGTCTAGAAGATGTGAAAAGCGCTATATCAAATGCAAGGATTATTATTATATAGATTCCTTAAAATTGTTTCAAAGTTTTCTCCTATTGCAAATTAATTGATTGGTTCCTAGTTACATGAAATATCTTTTTTCATTTTAAATAATGGGAGTTAAATTTGCCACTCTTATAATCTGCTAGTTTCTAAAAAAAAACTAGTTGCACCAATTTCTTTGCTACTATTTTAAAATGCATGTTCCTGGCATAGCAAGTGATAATCATGTTGGGTAAGAATGGAACACTTTTCTTGACATCTAGAGTTGTCAAGAATACTTGAGATGAATCCAGTCAGGAATTGATGCAGATTAACACTGCTTTCTGCTCATCTCAGAAATTTACTTTGATGTTCCAACAGCCCTATTGGAATGCTTTGTGGTTTTTCCCACATGATACAATTTTGCGGCCTCTGAATAAGACTGCCTATTTGTCATTTTGTGTTTTGGATTCATGCCGACTGGTAATTGAACTGTGACGGCCCAATCTTATTTCATGGACAACAGAGAGAGAGAGAGCAGATTTTCCACCAATCTTAAGTTGTATTCAAGTTCGATCTCAGACAATGTACCACAATATAAAATTGTTTTTTATTTGCTTCTGATTGTCTAGTAGGTAAAGGGACCACCAATGTGGCCGTTTAGACTGTAGGTTTGGATTTCCAAACTGCACTGTTAAAAATATATATATATTAATCAGGCAGTATTTGGGGCACTGCAATTGGCTTTAGAATCTGTGAGCCAGGAGGGAAAAAAGTCAGCCAGAGTTTCTGCTTGTGGTGTTCTGATGTAGAAGTGCACTACAAGGCCGTGAGATACCTTCACAAAATTCCTTTTGTCTGCATGTGCAAAGTTCTGTGCATGCACACAAGATTACTGGAGACATGAATTCCCCATACAGTGTGAGTAAATCATGTCCCTGGTAATCTCACACAGATGTGCGAAGCTTCGTTTATGCACGTGACTGCATTTTTTGATGGTAGTGCGAAGGTAGCTGATGATACTTTGTTAGTGTAGGGTTAGTTAGAAAATGTAGTGGTACAATAGTAACAGTTACCTTTTGATGGAATTGTACAGTATTTTACTTAGTGATGTAACCCAAGTTTTTTTAATATGCAATCCTTGCATTTGTTATGGTGCCTTGTCACATTAAAGCATCTCATAGTAGTGACTGTATTTGTTAGGTGAGTGGCAGCTGATTTGCACTACAATGTCACACAAACTACCAATTAAGCTATCAGCTGGAGTGCACAAAATTATTTTTCGAAAACTTGATAGCTAGGAACATAAATTTAGTGGAATGCCATAAGATGGTAATATTTAAAATTTGACTGATGTCTGAGGTTTTGGAGAAGTCTCAAGGCAATAACAAATTAATTCTAAAAGTGTTGTGGGTGAGTGAGGGTGGTGTTTCGAGAGAGAAGAAATTATGAATGGAATGATCAAGCTGAAAATAATACTAATGCTCGTAGATTAGGTCCGGGCTTTTAAGGTGATCTATAATATGAGAGTTGACGACAGCAACTATAATTTTTTAAAAAGTAAATGGTAAGAAAGCAAACAAGAAGGGATAGGGTAGGATTGCAATTTTTAAGATGAAGATGAACAAATTTTGAAGGAAAAGAAGAAATGGTAAACACTAGAACCATTTGGAGACATTTTTAGATAATGGGAGGAATACCATGGAACCACAGAAAGCACTTCATTTTACATCAGGGTGTGAAGGATCTTGGAAACAGGATGGCTGCTGAAATTAGATGTCAGACGAAGTAGGACAAACAACAATGGAGGCTTATGGCAAGATCAAATTAATTTCATCAAAATGAGAAAACTCAGCCGAAGATGTCATCTTTATCTGCAGTAAACCTTGTGATTGAGGCCAGAAGAGGGGGTGGAAAATTATTTGACAGTACAATAAAGCTTGCATAAGTCTTACTTTTATCATCACCTAAATCAGACATTCAACCAAGTCCCGTTCAGCTTCCTATCAAACCCACTTAGGTTTCTTTGCACTCCTCATATTATTCACCACCTAAATCATAACGCAGCTCTGTTACCCTCCATTACTCCCGCACTTTACTACTGCATTAAAATTGTGGAAAATGATGCCCTGATCCGTTGACGCTTGTACACCTACAGCTGGCTGAATTGAATTGTGCAAAATATAGTATTGATCCGCTGATGCATGCATGGAGGAACTTCATTTCCTACAATTCAAATACTTGCAGCTAAGTGCGCATGTGGTGACGGGTTAAAACTACATTTCCTGCGATTCACTGCAGTGGCAGGCGCACTTGCCGGCAAGAATGCTGAAGTACCACACGTGCACTTGTGTTTCATGTACTGTATTTGTCTGCTTCCCTCTTGAAACCCACAATGGACTCTGCTTCTGTCACCTTACTTGGCAGGGCATTCCACACCCCAATAACTCTATGTGGAACAAATTCTCATGAGCTCTACTTTCGCTCTTCCTGTGACTATTTTATATATCTGTCCAATTGTCACTGACAGGGCTACCAGTGGAAATAATTTCTTCCTATTTATCCTGTCAAAACCCCTTATAATTTGTAGATCTCCCATCAGATCCCTTCTCAACTTTCTCTGCTCCAATGAAAGGACCAACTTCTCCAGTCTCTGCTCACAAATATAATCTTTGATCACTGGTATCATTCATGTAAATCTTTGCATTCCCTCCAAGGCCTTGACATATTTCAAGTGAAGTGCCCAAAACTAAATGAAATACTCCAATTGCAGCCTAACCAATGATTTGTAGAAACTTACTAAGGTGAGATTTCATGGGAACAACAGTAGGATTGAACCAGGAAGAATGTCCAATTTGTCTTTGAAGAATTGGGTCTGAAATTTCCATGTGAGATAGAATATCAGTAACGATGGCGTTTCAGACTGAAGTAGCAGAAAAGTTATTTGGATTAGGGAAAATCAACAAATCATCTCAGTGAGTAGATTTGTTGCACACATCAATTAGTTTCGATGATTAGCGTGATTTGTTGGATGATGTTTTACAGGGTACAGGTAAGTGAATGTGATCAATGTGTTATTTAGCACAGCCAGTTCATCCATATTTGTGTTTAGTATTACAGTTGCTGACAAATTTCAGCAAGGACATTTTGGTTCATAGCTTCCTTGGGGGAGGTAAGCAAGGTCTCCTTGGAGTTGAATTGGTTTCAAGGTGACGTGCTTGTGTGACCGGGGATGAGGATATATCGAATGGGGAGATCTAGCTGTACCTGAGGACGCCATAGTGCCCTCCTCCTGTGAAAAGAGCAGAGTTACGCAGATCCCTGTGTCCCGTCATCCATCCCCGGCCAGCCCCCCCATCACCCCCCTCTCACCCCCTGTTTATTTTGTGAAGGACTCTAGATGGCTTGAAGACGTGATAAGGCACTGTATCAAATGCAAGGTTATTATAGAATTGCGTCAATTCTCGGTAGTGTACTCTGGTTCCAGAGCCAAGCGGGTCTGCAGTACTGAATTAGATTTAAGCTAAACTAAAAAATAGTTTCAAGTTAAAAGTGGATTTCACAGATTATAGCATAAATGTTCTTGCAACAGTTATTACTCTGAAGTTTCTTTATACAACTGTGAACTGCAGACTTTTTAAAGTTAACTAGTTGAATATGGTGACATGAGCTCATAGACAAATCCCAAAATATAATTTTAAAAAAAGTCTGATTTAGAATTAGCTTTTACACAACTTTCAGAAATAAGAGTAAATGTAGGCCAAAAGATTCTATTTAAAGTAAGACATTTTTTCCTTCATCCTAAATATTTCTTTAGCACAATGAGAAATATTAGGCAACTATATATTGTTCTGCATCACCACGTCTTAGGCAAGAAATGCACATTCAAAGAGGAAGAATCCTCCACTCCTCCTGATCCAACCGCCAGCTCGGGTCCAAATCCTGATTGTCCAGCACCTTGGGACGTCCTCGCAGCGTGAAAGGAGCTATACAAATGTAATTTGTTGTTGTAAAACTGACAGTCTTTATGTATTTCAGCTGTCTCATTCGGAACAATTTACTTGAAATGGCTTCTATGTATAGGATAAGTCCCCTCCCAATATTGAAAGGCACAATATAAGTGTACAGGCTGATCCCTAATTATTATGATCCCTCTGGTTATAGCGAACTTGACATTGAGACCCACTTTTTCCCATGGATCCTTACCCTGATACAGCGATCATTGAAGCAGAACCCGAATATAAGTTCTGCAATCAAATCAAAATGGCGGGGGGGGTTGGCAGCCAATCACCTGGGTGCTTGGCAGTTAATCATGTGGGTGCTTAGCAGTCAATCACTTGGCTGCCAACCAGCAAACCAATACATGCAAGCGCCGGAGAGCGAGAGCGCAGGGTGTCAACTCACCTCACTCATACACCCGCTCCTGTTCCTCTTCAGTATGTGACTGCTCGCATGTGGAAAATTTGGCCATTTCAGTATTTAAATGTTTATAGCGAACACCTGGATATAATGCTCCTTTTTCCCTAAGTCTCCAAGGCATTGGGTATGTGAGGTCAGCCTGTATATTGTACTATAATAATTATTAGAATTTCAGAATTTATTATTTTTAGAAACATTGGGCTTTCCTTAATTTTGAACTTTTTTTCTAGACCTGCTACATCTGTGAAGAGCAAGGGCGTGAAAGCAAAGCAGCAACTGGGGCTTGTATGACTTGTAACAAGCATGGCTGTCGGCAAGCTTTTCATGTCACATGGTTAGTATTTTTGTTATATATAAAATAATAAAGGAGGGCTTCATTGATGATAGTGGGCAGATGCATTGCAAAGTGTGGTGCTGATCAATCTGGACCAGTTTGATCCCTGGTCTGTGCCAAGCTACTTAAACTTGGAATGTAGCCACACCATTTGGTCTCTATTATCTTTTAGCTAGTGAGGGGTAAATCAGTCATGGATCCTGCTTCTAGCTGTTGTCCATTGATCCTTGTGGAAAAATGCGAGGGTGGATATCCAGAACATGTTCCAGCTCTATTCTGTTGCCCTATGTTGTGTAGGCTCGATTGTGAACCACGTCCTCTTAAAATGAAAAAGCTTGGCTGTGTAACCAAATCAGTTGAGTTCATATCCCCATACATCATACTTGAGCTCCATAATGCTCTGGTCAGGCTGCACCTAGAGAACTGTACACAGTAACTGCAAGGTTCTGGAGGCAGTGCAGAGGAGAGCAATCAGGGTGATCGCCAGTTTTAGATGAATGAGGCCATGAGCAATGATTAGACAAGCTTGGGCTCTTTAGTCTTGAAAGATAGTGTCTCAAAGGGGACCTCATAAAGGTGTAAAATCCTGAGATCCTGAAGGGCCTCTTCAGCCAAACCGGTCTTTGATCTTGTGAAACATGGCAGGGTTGCTGACACCAATGCTCTCCACTATGAGCTGCTGTCTTGGGAAAAGGGAAACAATGGATTGAAAAAAGTGAGACCCAATGTGTGGAGTCCTGTAGCTCAGTGGTTAGACACTCGCTTTGCAAGCGAGAGACCTGAGTTCAATTCCAGGCAGAGGGCGAAACCTTGGGCAAGTTTCCTTACTCCACACAGAGCCTAATAATAATCCCTCCAAAACCCAAAACAATAATAAATTGGTCATTTTCAATCTACGACTGTTTGTGGGACATTGCTGTGCGCAATTGGCTGCCGCGTTCGCCCACAAATATACAGTCAATTCACTTTACAGTGTGTTCTGTGAAGCGCTTTGGGACGTCCTCCCGACGTGAAAAGCGCTATATCAAATGCAAGGATTAGTATTATAAAGAGTTTATGCAGAAATGAAGAATTATATTAGGTAACTTTCTTTGGATACCAAACACAATTTTAATGACCCTTTATAATCCATGAAGGTTAAGAGCTGATTTGATAAAGGTCTTTTAAAATTATGAAGAGTTTGATAGCCAATAGGTAGAAATCATTTCCACTGATTGTTGATTTAGTGACGAGAGGACATCAATTTAAGCTAATGGAGCAAATGAGGAGGTTAGGATAATTTTTTTCATGCACAGAGTAGTTTGGATGTAGAATTCCCTGCTGGGAGTGGTGGTTGGGGCAAAATCTATTTTGTCTTTCAAAGCAGACAAGATAAATAATTAAAGGAGTAAACTACATGGGTATGGGAAAATGGCAGGTAAATGGGACTCAAAGGATAACTCTTAACAGTGCCAGACACAATAGTCTGAACAGCCTTCTGAGCTCTAAACTTTTATGCTTTTATATTGTAATGCATTAAATGGAAGTGAATTTTCACTTGTGTGCATAACATTTTGCGTTTTTAAAGGGAACATTGGGAGTATTCTATGTTTGCTTCGGGGTAAGAAGGCATTGTATGAAAATGAGTGTTCCTGACTGGCGCAGAGCCTTGCATAACTTCACCCCCGAGTATCCATTCTTTCCTTCCAACTTCAGTTTAACTAACACACTTGGCATCTCTAACTGATGTCCTTGCTGAGTTTAGTTAAATCACTACAGACGAATGCGTTCCCAGGCCATTTGTCTTGTTTAAGCTCCACCCACAGCATGAGGCAGCATGGCCGTGTCAAACAGAGTTCACTGAGCTCTGTGATGTTTGATCAGATTATTTAACACATGGTACCAGAGTAATGAAGTGTTGAAAACAGAGTTGTAATGTAGATTTTTAACAGAAAATCTGATGTGGCCTTTGTTTACATTATTCAGTTTCTGAACAGATCTATTTGATGGTCTAACTGAAGATTTTTAAAAAAAATTTTGCAAAAAAATTGATGAATGATAAAACATTTAACTATGTATAATTTGGAAAGTCTCAAAAAGTTTGCTTTGTTAAATGTCTTTTGCCCTATCAATTCTTTTCTCCTACGCTACACTATTCCCCATCAAAGTGTGATGTTGATCAGTTTCATGGCCTCTGCCACGGATGATCAGTAATGGGATATGCAAGACTGCTGAGAGTTGTATTATTTCCCCACCTACTTGATGCCCAACATTCATGTAGTCTTAGCATGTAAGACCATTTTACTTGAAACAATCAATATCATGTAGAATTTGGGAAATTTCTTAAATTTCATTTTAATTTGAAAGCTGGCCTTGCCCAGTACACGTTTTTAAATTAAGGCTGAATTTAAGCTTCTTTTTTGCAATTCTCTGCGATCTTAAATGTAAAGACAAAATGGTCTTGCAAACTTTAAGAACAGGTGGAATTTTGGACCTCTGGCATCCTCACTTGGCAGAAAATGGGAAACTGCTATGTGGGGAATTGTGCTTGTGGTGTGATGCATTGCTATGAATCCAAAAACTGCTACTTGATAATCGTGCAGTAATTTTTAAATTTGCATTGGGTAACATCCAACCTTCAAAAGTTTTAAGAGAAATTTATTAGATTGAATTTTTTTAATCCAAATATTTTGCTTTGGAAGGGTGTGCATCGGAAAAATTACTGCTCCTTTCTAGCTGATTGAAATTCATAGTTCACAATCTACGATCATTGTCTCAATAAATATTATGGATTCACGCCAGGGTCCAATTTTGTACTAATATTAAACAGGATCAATGGTAGGAATCGGAACTGACAAAATGCTGAAAATATGCAGCAGTTTTATGTATTTGAGAGATGAGATGAATTTTTGAGGCTGGTTCCTGAATAAGCATTTCATCTTATTTTGTTTTTCCATTTCTAATATTGTTGTTACATGTGATTTATTTTTTATACTTTAAAAAAATTTCAAATAGGCTAGTGCAAACTGCCCTGAACTGAACATTGCACATAACACAATGCATTTCTCTACAAGTGTATAATTGCTATTGAAGTTGCTTTGAGACAGCACCTGACATAATCGCTATGCAGAATGCAATGCATTTGGAAATATTCTAATGTTATAAGTGCTTTACGAAGATGAATATTTTGCAGAGTCCAGAAGTATTGCAGCAAACTTTCAAATGCCTTGGTAGATTCAGTGCAGTTAAGGTAGAGAGCAATTTAAAAAAAGGCTTGAAAGCACTCAGACGCTATGCAGCGTGAAGGGCACTATATAAATGCAAGTTGTTATTGTACAGTCCCAATGTCAAAATTTCATGGGAAAGAATTAGGGTTTTGGTGGAGGATGGGGAGAGGAGAACACTTAAAACATTGGGTGGGGGAGAAGCAAAGAACTCATTGGTATGGAGAATGGGGTGGCAGTGCCAAAGAGGAGAAAGGTGCAACTGGACAAAATCTATTTGACAAACAGTTTAGTTTCTTGTTAATTTTACTTACATAATCTCAATTGTTTTTCATTTTCAGTGCACAGCTGGCAGGACTTTTGTGTGAAGAAGAAGGTTCAGAAGCTGATAATGTTAAATATTGTGGCTACTGTAAATATCATTTTAGCAAATTGGTAAGTGCCAAAATCTACTTCATCAATGCCACATTAAAAACAACAACTTGCAGTTATATGGCGCCCCCCAGGCCGGGCGGCATCCTAGAGCGCTTAACAATGGAGGAGCCTGATGCTGAGCCAGGGGTAGGGGGAAGATGGCCATAGGCATGGTCGAAGGGGAAGGTCTTCAGGCACAGCCTGAAAATGGAGAAAGAGTGGGCAAGCCAAAGGGATTGAGGGAGGGAGTTCCATAGCTTTGCAGCGTGGTGGCTGAAGGCACAGCCGCCGATGGTGAAGTGGAGGATTCGAGGGACAAGGAGGAGTCAGAAGAGTGGAGACAGCGAGTAGTGCTGTGAGAAGAGAGGGGGTTGGAGAGATGGGGGTTGTCAAGGCGTGGAGGGATTTAAACAGTAGAGTGAGAATCATGAAGTCGATCCGCTCTGACAGGGAGCCAGTGGAGTTTGGCAAGGGCTGGGGTGATTGGGGTGCGGCGTTTAGTTCTGGTGAGAATGTGGGCGGCGGAGTAAAAATAAGGGAATATTTTAGTAAAATCTAACCTACCCACTTGTGGCGTTGCTCAAATGAATTTCATGAAGTTATTGGATAACTTTTCTATCACAGCTGTTTTCCAGTAGTTACATGTCCTCATTATTCAATAGTGGTTTGGCATTCTACTTCTGGTATTCAATACTGGTTTGGTAAGAAAGGTTTGTAAACTGCTGAGAGTATTGTCAGTGATGGACCATTTGTTTTAAAAAGCAGAATATTGGCATGATGAGGGAAATTGAATTAATTCAAAAACTGGGAGTAGTTTGTCCATTTCAACAGAACTACCAAATGGGATCTAAAAGTACTTTACAAGAAGTGATATGGCTAAAGGGTCAATTATGGTACATCCTTTGTGTTGATTGTGAAAATCTGTTGAATAATTTCAATCAGCATTCAGCTAGATGGTCCAGTCTATTGGACTGTCTAAACATGTTTTTTAATGTTGGCAAGGTGCTGGCAATTACTCCTCTTTGGCAAAATTAAAACTGTAATACACCAGTTCAAGAAGAACTGCACAAGCAAGTTAATTTCCATGTGCAGTGCTTTGATTTGCCCCTGTATGGAGCAGTATAGAGCTGTTAGTATAACTGCTCATACCGACTTTGTAACTGGAGCATAAAATGCTTTGTAATATTAGCTCATTTGTTTTTCATGCTTCGATTAAATTTTTTAAATTAGTAAATTTTCCAGAGTTATCACGTCTGCCTTTTTAAATCGAAATTACTAAATGGGAATGAAGTCTATTAGAGTGATTGACATGAATGACATTTTGTTTATTGTTCAGCTTGAATACTACACCAGTTGAGTTTTGAATGTAAGCTGTAACATGTATTATTTTAACTTGCAGACAATTATTCAAGCAATTATGCTAAAATATAGTAATAATAATCTTTGCATTTGATATCATGTTTTTGAGATGACTCAAAGCACTTCACAGAATATATTGTAAAGTGAATTGACTATATTTTGTGGGTGAAACTCAGCAGCCAATTGTGTACAGCAGTGTCCCACAAACAGTCATGAATTGAGTGACTACATTTTTTGGGGAGGGATTATTACTCCCAGAATGCAATCCAGCAATCGACAAACAACTGAGTTCCTACTTACTGCTAGGTATACTGAGCTGTTTGGAGTAAGAAAACCTGCCTAAGGTTTTACCCTGCCCGGGTCTTCTCGCTTGTGAGGTGAGTGCGCTAACCACAATGCTACGGGACTCCACATGCAGTTCACATTTATTTTGACAATTTCAATATAACCGGGTGCAAGGTTCAGATATATTAAGTAAATAATGCCTCTCATATTATCTAACCCAAAACAACAATGACTCTCTGATAATGGAATTAATATATTTTGAGAGGGGCATGCTTCCAATTTTCATGTATTTTTTTTTCCTACTGTTCGCTACTTCACATAGCATGGAGGGTCAAATAGATGGTGATGTTGATCATGTTTCCAGGTCCCAGCATCTACTAATATAAGCTGGCCATCGGATGTGTTAGGGAACAGCCCTCGAATCACAGTCAACAATGTTTTTCAATATTTAGCGATATTCTAGAACTGAAGGAGAGGATATGGAGAACGTGAGCATGATCCTGTCTTTCATTCCACAAAGCAGTGTCCTCTGCTTCAAAGTGTTGCATTATCACACTGAGTGGAATTTTTTTTAAAAATCATTTTGCACACTAACATTCACACAAGCAAAGTGCAATCTACTTCCAAAGGTCATTGGAAGAAATGTGGAATGTGTGACATGTTGGTTCAAATCCTTGGTAGAGCAAAATAATGTTATGATTGATGAAAGAAATTCTATACAAGAAAAAAAATCCATTTCAATATCTCAAAACTAATTTGACGAAACAAATCTTCCCTGGAGCAAAACTTCCAAGTGAGTTCAACAAAATTTAGCAAGGCCATGAAGCTTCAGACGTTAAAAGCAACTAACTGTTTGCATTATTTTGCAAACTACATTCAACTGTAAGCATCGTTTTTGACAGTTTACCAGTGCAGTTTAAATTGTTCTTGTTACTTTCTGGGATTTACATTTGTTTAGATGTTCTGACATTGATCACCTATTAACATTTATTTCTCTCTCGTGTTGAGTTATTATTCTAAAAATATTTTTTAGAAGAAGGGCAAGCATTCATCTAATAATGCATATGAGGAAGGCTTGCGTAATTCCTCATTACGTCCTCAGTCCTTGGGAAAAAAAAGTAAATTGCATGATCTCTAAAGAGATTTCATATTTTACAGTGATTTTTTGCACAGAGATTGCTTTTACAAAGTTAAATGCAATTTTATTTGGAGGAGGAAGTTGCGAACAGTGAATTTAGAATAGATTATGAGAATACTGGTATTTACAAAATGTTACTTGGAAATATAATTGATAATTAATTGAATAAAGTATCCGAATTTTAGCAACTAGAGAATAAAAATGAATGAAAAGTAATTTAGCCTAGGATCATTATTTTTAATTTTTTGCATTTCCGATGATTTATTTGATCTTATCTACTATGGCTTTTTTTGGCAAACTTTCTTACTGAGATGGCAAAATGCCACATATTTCACAGGGGAGTTGTCACTTTTGAATGAAAATATAAGCATGACTAAATAGTAATTGCTTGCCAGCTGTCTTGCATTCCAAATGTTTATTCGGATACAAACATCCGATTGTCAGAGAACATCTTTAAAAATATTTGTTATTTAAACTGAAGTTTCACTTTTTTATGTATTGATACAAAGATTGCTTTCAGAAAGGAAAGAAATAGGGTGCAGTAAACTTGGAAATATTTGCTGAATGACCATTCATAAACTAGGCATCTCAAAACATAATTATCAATACTCAACCGATAATGTTTTGTATGTTCATAATCATTTTTAAACTACTACTAAAAATAGAATTAACTGAAGCAAAGGTTATTGAATAGCAATCTGGAGTGGGAATACTTGTTATGTATATATTTTTTCTTGCCAAACCCACTGTAACTCAGGAATCGAGCTGAATTGAACCCCTCCCCATTCTCCACCCGAGTGAAAGGTTGATGCGTTATGTTGACGGCCTCAGATTTAATATGTTGAAGTATGTAAATTCACGTTGTTGGGACACCTTTATCTTTACTGCCCATTCCCATACCAGACAGCATATTTACTGAGCCATCAGAGGAGCACAGGATGAAGAAAGGTATACTTTTTTATTGTTTTTGGTGAGTTTCATTTTGTGATATGTAAATAAAAGGTGTTCAGCAGGAAATTTACTACAGTATCTGATATTGAAGGGTGGGATATTTGGGTAGGACCATAGACTAGTCATGAAATTGGAACCAAGTTGAAAGCTAAATGGTTAATGCTTGAGCTATGCAGAAAATATTTTGGTATAATTGCGGTACATCACAGCAATTTACATTTCTACATAGTGCTTTTCAAGTTTGGAAGACATGACTGGGAACCTAATGTTTGGGATGAGGGGGGCGAGGGGGAAGTGCAAAAACAAAGGTGGCTGAAAGCAAAGTCAAAGAGAATGTAGATTTTTAAAATGGAAAGGGAGGGGGCAAGGAGAAGTGCAGTTAGGCCACCTGAATATGGAATGTCCCTAAGTCTAGGATGAATCTTGTTTGGTTAGCTGGGTATCTTAACACGTTGGAAACCCATTCCAAACAAGAGGTCCATGTGTCCCGTCTATACATAGAAATTCCAGAGATGATTATCGAAATGAAATGCGCACTCTCTTCCTGCTTACCTAATTCTGGAGAGCACTGGGTGCAGGTTGGCAAGTGCCAAGGCTTGAATCCCAAGCCTATGTTTCAGAGTATACTTCAGAGCTTGCCGTTGAGAACAGTTTACAATACTTGTCCAGCCAGGTCCACCCATTTGGGTTCGGGGTCAGTTTAACTTCTTTATTTTCCCTTCACTCCACTCCACCCTCCCCCAAGGATAGTCACTTGTTGGTCAAGCAGAGCCTTCATGCGATGGATAGCAGGTAGCAGCAACTAAAAATTTCCTGGTGAGCAGCACAGCTCAGAATGAAATGTGTGAAAGCAGTGCCGCCATTCTGCCCACACCTCAGATACCCAATAAGTGATGGTCGCTCCAGTTGGGAGATGTGGAGCTTGAACAGCATCTGCTGCCTTTCTGCATACCAATCAAGATGGATAGCAAGACCTGGATGTTTGAATGTGTATTCACAAACCTGTACTTCGGATATCTCCTCTTAGCAGCAGTCGTCCCAAGCCTCAGTTTCCTTGTCAACCATTTGATGGGCATTTGTCTTTTGTGTGGTGGGAGGACTTTTACAGGATAGCTTGTGATGTGGTAGCTGCATTGTTGATCTGGAGAAGTGGTGGCCAACAAAATACATTTTCTTGATTGAATATTTCTTGATTTACGCCATAAATACATAGAATATAATCCCTCAGGGAGACAGGTTGAGTATATAGATGGGGATAGAGATTAGGACATGGAAGGGGACAGAGGAA